CTTTTTAATGCAGTATTTTCTGATTTATGGCGCAACACAAAGATATTTCGCTCTGTGCAAACCTTTGACTCTAATATGTCAACAACATGAAACGAGAATATGAACCTGGCTTTATCCAATGTTCACACACGAGTTCTACATCCTGACACATCCTTCATCACTGTCTCAACGGAAAGAGGACCAGAAACACATTAAAAAATATAATAAAATGTGGAGACTTTGGGATATTTATCTCCCATTCTTTTACTTTTCGGGCATTTTACAGACCAGACATGTCGTTGATGTCACTGTTTATCAAACTACCACTTTTTCTGAAAAATGCATAAAATGGTGCAATATATGTTAAATACATGGTTTATACATGTAATTACTGGGGTCCATTTCTTCTGATTACCTCATTTGGGCGTGCACATTTGCCGCACGCAAACCTACCTCTTTTGGATTTGGAAAGGTTGGCATGTATGTTATTACTATTATTATTATTATTATTATTATTGTTATTATATATGTAATATTTTTCACTTATCATTTTTTTCACTTTTCACTTTTTTATTTTTTTCACTTTTCATTTTTCAAATGAGGGTGCATAACGAATCAACTGAGGGTGCAATGCACCCTTATGCACCCCCGTAGAACCGGGCCTGGAAAGTGGGCAGCAAATACATTCCCATAACTGATAATATATTTGATAAAAGTATGCGATGAGTAACTTACTTAAGTCTACATTTTAAACAATATATGTCTAAATGGGTTTGCCTAGTAAGTCTGTGTAGTAAAAGCTTGGTCAATTTGTGGTTAATAATAGCAGCTTCGTGTCCTGTCTTTTTTTATTGATGTGGTGAATATTTCATGGGTACAGTGGGGGGCTGGAGCCTTTCCCAGCATGCACCAGGAGAAAAAAAACCCTGCCCAGGTTGTCAGTTCTCAAACACATCTTGGGAACTCACCTATCCTGCATATCATTGTTTCAAAGAGGATCCATGTAAAAACGAGGGGGAAATACTAACAAAACACCAATAAAAAGCACATTCTTGGACTGCCTTCAGAGGGTGGAATCTGTGGGATCGTGCCAATCTCTCTCTCTCTCTCTCTCTCTCTCTCTCTCTCTCTCTCTCTCTCTCTCTCAGCACAAACAATTTTAATCAAGCGCTGTTTTATAATCCTGCACATCCACACAACCCAATCTATGTGTGTGTATATGTACAGATTATCCTACTGTACACAGTATCTCATTCAGTTCAGGGACAGTATCGCCATGCCTGTTATGTAAAATCTTCTCTGCTTTGTCTCCCCCTGCACACCATAATACTTCCATGTCATCCAAGACAAAAGGCTGTAGATGATGTCAACTGTAGCTGCCACCTTAAATCTTCCACTACACCACTACAGTGTCCCTTAAAGCCTCCACTGTTCCAGGTGGAGCACAAAGAAGCAGCGCTGCCTCTGCATCCCTCCAGGATTACATAACCTCCTCGGCCCTTCAGCGCTGATGGAAAAACATTCACAGGTACAAACTGTGGGCTGGCAGAAAAAGGTATATTCATGGTCAAACTCTCTGTGTAATCACTCGTGAAACACTGATTTTAAGAGGCTGAGAATAAGCCTGCACAGAGGAGAGATATCAGGAGATCTGTATCGCCTCTTCTATGTCAGTCCACTCTACACTGCACCGGCCCTTCGCTTCAACAACGTAAACACCCCTGCCGTGGGTCATTCATTCAATGCACTTACTCACAGCTACTGTTTCCAAAACACCACCACCCATAAGCATCCCAAACAAGCCTCCTCTGGGTATTAAATGGTGACCTATGAACCCTGCGAGGATGCACAGCAGCAACACCTACATGCTGTCAAAAAGCAACATTTTTAGCAAACCTAATGGCCTCAAAAGGACTTAATGGCTTATTTTCTACATGCACAGCAGCTACAGGGTAGTTTAGGCATGGGGCAATGTGAGTCTCAGGCTCCTGCAGGAATGCAACATACACAATAAGACAGAAAACAGGGAAGAGTCCTGCACCAAACTGCATGTCAGAAACACCAGCACATAGTTCCTGATCAGCATGTTTACAGTTTCCATCCCACAGCAGCAGCACACCCCTCTCACAGTGTTTATATCCCAGCATGCTCTGAACACTTCCCCCTGCTTCATGCATTCACCCTCACACCTTGGTCAGCTGGGCTATCTTCTTGCTCATCTTCAGATGCAGGTCCTGCGTGTAATCCAGCGTCAAACTCCCGTCGTAAAACATGCTGGCTGTGGGAGAGGGGGAATACTTGGAGCTGCTAGTCGATGTGCTGTACGGAGGCTGCCAGCCTGCCCCCGTCGCCATTTTTGCAGGGAATAAAAAAACCCAAAAGCGACGCTGTGAATGTGTGCGTAAAATGGAGCTATGCGTAAAATCCCTTCATTGTTGTGTTTGTGGATAATCTTCCAGGTTCGTGGAGAGACGGGGAGCAGGGACGGCGAGGCGCGGCACCGTCCCGTCCGTCACACGCATGAGCAGCGGGAGCAAGCGCTGGGAATGATTAGAGAGGCGGGGACGCGCACCAGATGCTCAGCCAATGGCAGGTTCAAGTGGATGTAATCGGATGTAATTCTCATAATGCTGCTGGAGGACTGTGGTGGAAAGTAACTAAGTACACTTACTTAGATACTGTCCTCAAGTACACATTTAAGGCACTTGTACTTTACCCACGTATTTTCATTTTGCACCACTTTATACTTCTACTTCACTACATTTTGGAAGCCAATTTTGTACGTTTTACTCCATTACATTTGTTAGACAAAATGTGTAACTAGCTACTTCACATTGTTAACAAAAACAACATATAAATAAACTATTATATATAATTATAGTTTAAGATATCCATCAGCAGTATGAATAGAGTATTACGTACAGATAGTCTGCAATACAAAGGATATTTTTGCTTTCTGTGGGAATGCTCTTCATTCAGATTTTGTTGCATTACATCATTCTGGAGACACTGAAGCTGTGAACGATCCTGCACTGACACCTGCTGGTAATGTGCATGAACAAGATTATACTAAAGGATCAGTTCATCCAAACAGTCGTGAAACAAGTGCAGAAATGCAGGGCTTGTTGCATATTACAGATTGCTAAAACACACCTAATACAACTGGGATCCACTTCATCAACACCTTCTGATCATCATCATTCTTCAGTTCACAGTTTTTTTCCAACTAATTGACCTCCTAATTGAGTTCAATGTTTACATCACAAGTATATCTATCCAGGGGCGCGGGAAGGGGCGCGCTCACTAAAAACGCTAAATCTGCTAAAAAGATTGAAATAGAAGATGCAGGGGCAGGGCATTATTACGCAGAATCGGTGTAATATGTAGCCAGGAATTAGCAATGCCTTGATAGCCTACTGCAATGGATGTACATTCCACATTGTTGGTAAAATAATATTTTACATCTTAATAGTGTGTGTGTGTGTGTGTGTGTGTGTGTGTGTGTGTGTGTGTGCTCGCGCTGATGTGCGTGCTCTATAGTGCCCGTAATAGCGTGCACAGGAGTCCATTGTTATGCACTGTGTGTGTGTGGTTTTGCTCGGTGTATGTCAACGTCACCCCCCCGTGCGTAATTAGCACATCGGAAAGCACCTCCGCTCAAAATACCTTCCCGCGCCTCTGTATCTATCCTTTTCCAGCTGCTTGTACCTCTATTTCTGACCTATTTTGTAACTATTTATTCTACTTTTGACTTATTTTATTGCGTGTTTGATTAGAGCACTTCAAAATCACTGTGCATCACGAGGATTCGAACACACAACCTCAGGACATTAGTGTTTCGTAGAGCTTATGGCTTGCTCATTTGGACCTTAAAGATGAGTGCACCTGAAAATATGTTGATTAAAAGAACAGATCACAACACAATAAGATTCATGAAATGTAAATACCGTCAAGAACTTTAGAACGACTCTTTTATTTTTGAAAAAGAAATGTTTTAAGTCACTTGTAGCTTTGCCTTAAACACAATCGCCTCCAATTTCATGTATTTTTCTTTTTATAAATTAGAATGGTATATTATGCATGCAATACCGCATTAGCCGCTTAGGGTTTCATCTTCCACAGAAAAAAAAACAAACACAAAAATCCCTTAGAAGTCCAGATGGAGCTGCTTGAGAAGGGTGGAGAAGCCACGTGAAGCGATGTACACAGTTTGCGGTTGCATAGTACAGTACATGAAGTTCCTCATTTTAAAACAGCATGCCGTTTCGTATTGCACATTACTGAAACTTTGTATACTGGACCTTGCTGTTCCACGTGGGTCATCGTCGTCTCATTTCAGCACATGTATACAGCGAATAGCATCTCTCAAAGACATTATGTACACTTGTTATAAAAATAATCGCCAGCAAATATTCATCTATTACTTTTCTACTGGAATAAATATTTGTTCTTTTGTTTTTTCCTATTTTGTTTTACACTTTCCCCCCCAAAAAAATCCTCCTTTAAGTTCTGTTTATTTGTGAGGTTTTATCCATGGAAAATAAAATGTGTAATGCATTACTTTTGGAGACAATAGGCCGGGATCCAGGGGACACTTCCCTTTATTGGTCTGAAAGAGAGCGTTATTGTTGTTTAGGGGAATTCACAAAGATCCCTTCTGATTGGCTCAAGCAGCCCAGCTCAACATTGGGTTGATTTGAATGGAAAATAGATCCCTGTTCAATCAACCAATGGGATCCATGCTATGGGGCAGAATGAGACATTCACAGTACACGTTCTTTTTCATTTGCTGTCTTCATGTTTCAGTCCATGAACCAAACACTGAAGGAGATTCACGGGAAAAATGGGCAAAGAAAACAACTTGTAAATAATCTATGCTTAATCCTTTGTGCTATAAAAGTGTTATCCCTTTCATCTAGATCTATACAAATTGATATATTAAGAGAAAATACCGTACACATTTAAATCAATGCATTATTTCGAGATGCTTTGCACCATGGGGAAACATTTGCTCAGTATTTAACATCAGGGCAGACTTTAGAGAAGTGGCTTTGCTAATTACAGTCGTCTTTTTAAATTTAAATGTCTATTATATAAATCAGAATTAACTTTCGCATGCAGACTTGCCTCACAGAATAACAGTAAAAGTAATTACTCTTATCAAATCAAACATTGTCCCGCCTTGCTAGTGGCCGTAGTTTCTCAAATCTTAACAATTTAAATAACACTCTGTATAGTGTTAGAGAAATCCTTAAAGCTAATTAAACTTTAGGGAATGATCACTATACTGAACATCATATTTCTCAGAAGGAAAGCGCTCTCGATGTTAAGAGAAGCTTCAACACTGTGTCTAAACGTGCTAAAGAACTCTTTTGTGGGCGGTCATACTGTGCAATTGTGATATCAATCAAAAATAATGGACCGTTATTCGGTAAGGTGTCTTAAGACGATGCCAAATATTGTACGGAAACGGCAGGGCATCAAAAAAGTCCCATCTCCACATGACAACTTTTGGTAGCTTATTTCTTTCAAAAAGGTGGAAGGAGTATGGAAGACCTTTGTTCTGTGATATTGAGACATCTATTTCATGTTCACTTGTGTCTGTTTTCAGGCTGAAACTCTGCCAGCTAGCTGTCTTTGTGATCTGGAGAAGAGATAATGGATGTGTAATCACAATCTGATGATGTAAAGATAATAACAACCACAGCAGCTTGTTCTCTGTTTGCAGAAACAAAGCATTGTGGGTAGGGTTCATCTTGTCCATGTTATCTTTAACAAACTTTACTTTCTACCTGCTAACGTGATCCTGAATTATTAGAAACTCTCATCACAATTGCGCCTCCATTTTTGAGTCATGCAATCCCTCTTAAACTCTCCGGGACATCAAGCGGTGCTTTCCGTTTCAGGGTTATCACTCATCTGTCATTTGGGCCATCTTTTTTCTTTTCTTGTTTTTTTTTTTTTTGAGAGATGTGCCGTATACTTCTACAAACATCAACTTGCTTACAGTAGGGTTTTATTTAACGTGTAGGGAACATGCTCTGCAGTCAGGACAACATGCCAGCTACACAGAGAATGAACATGATGCAACCGATCCTGCCATGTCACATTTTGAATACCCTAAAAAAAAAAACTACAGGAAGGAACTTCAATGCTTCAATCACCATCTGAACTTTAGTTTTAACGCTGAACGACTTTGATTCAATGCTAATAAATGCAAAATAAAATGTAGTGTGGGCAGCAGATGCTCTTTTAGTCTATCAAACGACAAAAAAGGTGCTTTTCTTCGAGTCCACATCTCAACCTCATCTCAAGTGGTATTTTGCTATTGTGTTTTACTTTACTAACTGACATCTATTGCCTGAAGCCTCGTCCTACAGTGTGATCAGATTCTGCTGGGACACTGAGGGTTTTCCACCCAAAAGAAAATCCTAAAAGCTATGCTACAGAAAAGCTGGCCTTGCTCGAAGTGACTCTCAAATAGCAAAATAGTTTGGGAATGTGAAGCACCAGTTTTTTCAAAAACTAGCAGCCCGATATCATCTGCACACAAACCCCCACCACCGTTACGCCTGTCCGCACAAATCAGGCGATTTAGAAAATTGGACCTCCGTATCTACACCTCATTATAAGAGAATCCAGAATGCTAGGTACAAAAGATCAATGAAGTGGATGCGGATCATCTATCAGCATGCAATAAGCTAAATGGAGAGGATTTATACACGGCCCAGGGTTTGGGTCAGCAGCCTTTCAGCAGTCTGTGTGCGGCGGACTTTCCTCCGACAAGGCGCCAAGTCCCGGGCCTTTTGAAGCCCAAACACCATCACCATCTGACATCTGACCCCTGACCCCCGACCCCCATCTGCGCTGCTGAGCTCTGTTAGCACAATCCCAAAAAGGAATTCATTTGACAGCATTACTAACAGGGTGGCATCCTGCAGCTCTTCACTACTGTTGATTGACGGGGGTTTGCCCTGGCAGCTTGACTTTTAAAAACAAAAACACCTGATTCTGTTGGATTTTTTTTTTTTTAAAGAAGAGAGAAAATAGCCAGGTAGACGAAAACAAATTAACACAAAGGTAACATTTTTGGGACCGTCTGGGCTCTGTGGCAGCGTTAGTTTGGGACTCTGGGCCGTTTGGGACCCTGGTGATGATGGGACGATGCTCAGAGTCGGTGTCTGGAGTCGTGGCTGTAGCTGCCCGGAGAGCTGCGGTTGCGGTGGGGCTTGTATGCATCCTGATAGGGGTCCTGGTAGTCCTGGTAGGGGTCCTGCTGCTCCCGGCTGTGCTGCGAGCCTGAAGACATGCGGTTGCGTCCCTTGTGCGCCCGCTCGTTGTGGTAGTTCTCGTCCGATGTCATCAGGTTGCGTCGCTCGTTCGGGGTCGAGTGGTCTCCCGTGTGGTTGCTCTGTCGGATCTTTTGGCTCTGCTGATCACATGAACACATGGAGGACACAGTGAGGCTGGAGACAGCACCACTTAACTATAACACCCTGTTACGAGCAGTCAGAAAAATCAACACGCATCCACATTAATGATCAGATTTGAAGCCATACGGCGTACAGTATATCTTGGGTACATTTTCTCATTCAGAATTCACCATGCGGTCTCTATTGTGTGGTTAATAAATAGTTTGCCTTCCACTCATCGTGAGCACCTGTCACCTGTGGTCTATTAAAGTATATATATAACAGTTTATTTTATTTGCATATTGACTGGTTAATGTGCCATTTCATTTGCGTTTTACAACCGCTGTATTCGTCTGCCTGTATTGTCTGTGTTTTATTTGTTGTAACTTTGTTCATGCTGCCCCAGGTCGCTCTTGAAAAAGAGATTGTAATCTGAATGACACTTGTTACCTGGTTAAATAAAGGATATATATATGAAGACATAACTACACTGTAGAAACAAATGACAATAAAAGCCTTGAATCTGAATGTATGCACCACGACATCAAGCCACATTCCTCGTGATGTGTACCTGCAGTCCAGAGATGCTGGTGGGGTAGGGGGTGAGGGTGGTGGGCCCCAGGTTGCGCCCCAGCAGGGGGTTCAGGGGCGTGGCCATGGAGGTGTGTGTGGCCTTCCAGTACGCCTCCAGGTACTCAGCCAGGTGCTCGCAGGCGTCCTCCAGCTGGTTCTCGTCCAGGATGATGTCGAACATTTCCTGTTGGAGGCAGATGGTCAGAGGGAGGGAGCAGGTGTGAAGATACTCATGGAAACAAGATGAATGACTTCCTGTTGTGTACAGACTGCCATCTTTATATTATATTAGTATGGTGAATACTGAAAAACGTAAATAGATTTTAAGGGGCTGATTGGTTGCACTGAATGATTGCCCGCTGTGATTGGCTGAAAGAAGGTGAACGTAAATAAATGTTTACGTTACAATATGGAGGAACAATGTCTTTATGTTAAAACCTAATTGCACGTGATGTGTAAATCCAAAATCATTGGTATTATAATATATCTCATTTAGGTTTTAAGATACACGAAATATGTCTGAATTGTATCTGAGATGACATGGCAATCACATATATAACTCACAATATAAGTTCAATTGATTTGAAGGGGCTGATTGGTTGAACTAAATGATAGGATACCTGCTGTGATTGGTTGAAACACGGTGAATGTGAATCAATTTTTATTTTACAATTTGATTGACTAGAGGAGATCGTGTGAGTGGAAAAGTGGGAATAAATGGCTTTATGTTCAAACCTGTTTGCACGTGATGTGTAAATCCAAAATCATTGGTATTATAACATATATAATTTAGGTTTTAAGATACACAAAATATGTCTGACTTGTATCTGAGATGGCATGGCAATCACACACATCTATCAAAACAAAACAGTATTATCCTTAGTTTTAAAATGGTTAGATCACCAGTAATACCAATAAGAAGGATATTTTTAAATAAATGTAAAAGATAAAACAAAACAGTGGCCTATCTTTTCCTAATAATAAAAGTATGAGGCTAATAATAAAGCGCTGGTCACTCACTGGAGGACACTGAGCCAGTTTGTCCGCTGCCACCAGCTGGACGTTCAGATGTTTGCTCTGGGATTTCCCTCTGGACTTCACGAGCCGCTGCAGAACCTGCGGACAGAACACGATGCTCCACTTACTCTGAATTTATACACTCAGTCTGAACCAACATCACGCAGCTCGGGGCCGCTCAGTCCTCCACGACGTCGTCACCAGTGCAGAAAGGGAATCTAGCTCACGAGCAACGAAGTGACAAATAAAACAGCTGGGGATAATGTGCAGGTTTAATGGTGTCAGCACTAATATCATGTCTGTCTTTATCTTGTATAGGTCTAACATAAAGTTAATTGATTGATCTATTACTCCCTTCTTTCGTTTGTGAAATAAAAAATATTCGATGCATGTTTGAGTTCCCATATTATGCATTTGATGTACCAGCACCAATATTAGTGAGAGTCCACATAAAGAGAGCTTGTGTCTCTTTAGAACATTTTTATTACCGGTCAAAATATAAAAATTTGACTCATTTTAAGCCCAAATTAATGACCCACATTATGGAGTGTATTTCTCCCGTCTCGTGTTTTTTTTGACAGGCGATATCGCTGCTTCCTGATGAGCCTGCAGACAGGTCAGTTCTCCTGGTTTGTGCAGTAAAACAAGCACCTTTCATGCTAGGAGAAGTGTGGTGTAAAACAAACCAGGATGTGACTGCATTTAAACAAATGCACCGTTTCAAATCAGACTTCTACTGATCTGTGGGAGTTCGTTGAGGAGCAGCAGACATACTCGTCCATGCAGCTGCTGCACCAGTGGAGGGTTAATATCATCCTAACAGAGAGACCGTTACCTGTCACATGTCTTCTTGTTTGTCTCCACCAAATGCAAACCAGATAAAAACGTAATTAAACCAGCGTTTTCTTTAGAGAAGCTACTTCTGAGCTTGTCACAGATATTTGGTTTTGTCGTCCCGACCCTCAGTACCTTTGGAGAGGAGACTTTAACGTGAACTATTATGGGGGCCAGGGAGGTCTTGAGAAGCTGCGCCGGGTGGTTGATGGTGTCGGCGTCCAAAATCACCAGCTGGAGGGAACGCGCCAACTCAAAGATCCTCTCAATCTCACTCTGCACCTCCGCTGGAGAGACAAGGAACAATTCAGATTCACAAAACCACAATGTTCATAGTTCTGTGTAAACAATGGATTAAACTCACCCGTTATGGAAATACCTAAAGCTTTCTAGAAGTTAACTCAACGTTCTTTTGTGTTTCCATTATCATTTTCTATGTTCTTACAGGTTGAGAAACATTTTAAGGCTTTATACTTTATATTTTAAACTAAGCATACTGGGAAAAACTGAGATTATTTACCTAGACTGGAGCGAGTGTTGGACCGTTCGATGATGGCTCTCTTGCTGGGGTTGTTGAGCACAGACCTCTTTGCTAACGATATGTCTGCCGTGACTCGTGTGATAGATATCCTGTAAAATGGTGAGAAAGAAAAAGCATTCACCAATATATTTGTGTCACTTCCTACTTCTTACTACCCTTTTCCCTCAACCTATCCTAAGGGAGTGCATGTATGTAGACACGTTAGTTTAGCTGCTATAGGCTTGGACTGTTGGGGGGGGCACCTTACTCCGTCTTTCTGTCTGTCTGTACCTGTGTACTCTCATGTTCCGATTAACCCAGCTTCCCCCAAATCTCTTTTTTTGTGTCCACGCCGGGATCCTGAGTCGAGGCTAACCCTGTTGCTGTGGTCGTGTGTCCTGGGTCCTCTATCCTGAGCACTGGATCTGAGTCCTGGACTTCGAGTCGTGGCTGAACCTGTCTCTGTGGTCCTGCCTGACTCTCATCATACGACTTCCCTGATGGCTCCCACAGGATTGTTGACATACTCGTGGATTCCTCTTCTTATTATAGACACATGCATTTCCAAACATTTGGTCTACCTATGTTGTAAAATGTATTATCTCTTCGATTTACACACTGTATCTATTGCACGTATGTCCGTCCTGGGAGAGGGATCCCTCCTCTGTTGCTCTCCCTGAGGTTTCTCCCATGTTCCCCTTTAAACTGTGGGTTTCTCTGGAAGTATTTCCTTGTACGATGTGAGGGTCTAAGGACAGAGGGTGTCGTATTGTCATACTGATATTCTGTACAAACTGTGAAGTCCACTGAGACAAATGTAACATTTGTGATATTGGGCTATATAAATAAACATTGATTGATTGACTATCACACACGATCATCACAGGGTCTGATCAGCTGCCACGTTTGTCTTACCTGCCGTCAAACCTGTGCTTAAGGAAGTCAAACAGCGCTTTCTGCATCATGTCTGTAACCTGCAGAGGAAAGAGAGAGGAGAGTTAGGAAAAGGACGTAGTGATTGGTCGTTGTTATTTCGGTAATTAAGGGCTGTATGATTATAAAATGATGGATGCGGATTTGGGAAAAGGTGTTGAATCTGGTCAGATAATTGGTTAATAATTGTACTAATGAAGTACAAAATGATGGCTGGACTGACGCACTTTGTTTGGGTCTCTTATCCCTCTTGCTTTTATGTGTGTGTGCAATTACTGAATTTGTCAGCTATGGATCTGTGTGTCATGTAAAGGGTGTCAAATGCACTTTGCACCCTTCAAAGAGGGGCTTCATTGAGTTGAAGCCCCTCTTTGAAGACCATCCACATCTAAAAATCCCAAATGAGTTTTTCTAAACCTCCTCCATCAAGTAATAAAAGCTCTTTTCTTCCACTCATCATGATAATCACAGTACTGGAGATTGTCTCTTTCCTGCGTCGCTTCCATAACCAGCAGTGGAAGCAATGAGACAGTTAAAAGCCAAAAATCTGCCAATTGCTCAACATATTTTCCCCTGACCTCCTCGTCTCCTTGTTAGTCTCGCTGCAATCTGGATGTTACGTGGGCGCTGACACACTCACAATTAACTGCGCCAACAGCGAGCTATTTTGGGGACTCAGGGAAAGACGAACATCTCCCTTCAGTAATCTTGGTGCACTGCAAAGGCCCGTAAATCAGTGACAGGGGACTTTTGATTTTCTGTCTAACGATAAGGGATGGTTGCTCACCTCATAACCTTTGAGCGAGGGTCCCACCAGCACCACAGGCCTCATGGAGGGAACCACGTCGTACGGGGGGACGTGCTCCGTCTGTCAGCACAAACACATTTTAAATCAGCAGCAAAAATAAATATGAACATTAGCTTTGACATAAAAGATATGCACAGCAGAGAAGTGTAAAGAAGTCAGCTGACAGGAATTACAGTGACGTGTGTACCGCCACTCTGAGGCAAATGATAATGCACTTTGTCAAACATACATATTGATGACACTGACAGGATTACTGATAATACAGCCAATAATTAGATTAGATTTAGTGACTTGATTGACACATTTGAAGGAACATGTTAGTACATTTTGACGTGCACATGAATTTATGAGTGTTTTTTTTTTACCGTCACCAACTTACCACTTTCTGTTTCTGCTTTCCTGTAGGAGGGGAGAGAAGACAGTCGTCAGTATCTGCTGCCAGAGGAGGCGCCGCCACAATATCTCAGAAAAACATGCGTCACATCAGAAGGCAATGTTTGAAAATGAAACCTAGCAATGATATCCGATATGATAAACAAAATACACAGCATTCCTATTAGTCCTAAAGTCATATTCACACATGAGTGCAGTTCAGGGGGGGTTCATAGTCTTGTCGTTGGGTCTCAGAACGCCTGCAGTCCTCAACTGGAGGAAGAGGAGGATCATGGGAAAATATACCAAAAACTTATGCTCTACGCAGAGAATGGGGAAGGGTCTTATTCGCTCTACGTTGTTCAGGAAGTGGGCTCTAAAGCTGGCTACTAACAGCCCTCTCCCCCTGACCGAAGTCCTCACCTGCCGAGGATATGAGGGGCCGGATAGAGGCAGAAACCTCATCCTCTACACTGGAAGAAGAGTTCTCTCCAGACTTACTGGAAAAGACAAGAGGGGAAAGAGAAAGACAGAAACACACCGTGGTATTAATGTGGGAAAATGTGCTTACTGCAGAGGAAATGTGCAAAACAACGGACACAAATATTATTTAACGCTTATTTTTTTACTGCAGGATTAAACATATGGTGCTTTTTAGACTACCCAACATCTCTGAAAGGCAGCTTGCTTTTATGTAGGTCTGCTGTTTTTCAGTAACTCATAATACCCCTGGCTGACGGGGTTTAAATGCCTCTTCCTGTGTGCAAAGCTTTGGGACCAAAAGCCACAGAAGCCATGTTAGAAAGTGAAGCTCTGAAGCCCTCCAGTCTGGGGAGATTAGTATTAAACTCAACACCCCAGGCTTGAGGAAGTGCCTGAGAGTTACTGTACAAACTCTAGAGGACAGCACCTTCAAGACACATTACACACTGAAACTAAGAGGCTAATTACAGCTATTAGAACTGTTACAGGCAAGTGATGGAGTAGTCCTAAGCAGACCTGGGTAACAGAAGAAAAATGCAGAAATAACCGCTCTTGCTCATTTTGTGTCAACGTTATATGTCATGTGACCACGTAAGGCTTAGTCACAGTGAGATTGAAGTGTGGCTTTCTGCGACTTACCCTTGGACTCGTCCTCTCTTCTGCTCCTGCTGCAGCCGGATGTTCTCGAGCTTCAGAGGGCTGGGGATGAAGCCGATCTCACAGCCCTCCTTCACTAACCGCCCGATCCACCAGTCGTTGTTGAACTTCTGCACAGCACAACAAAAAAAGAGGGGGAAAACACAAGGGAGGTCTTTAAAGGCAAGGCAAGTTTATTTATATTTCTTTTTTTTTTTTTAAATGTATTTATAGAAGGACCATGCATACAAAAACATTAATCTCAGCAAAGAGAAGAGATGCAATATGCCAGATTATAGCTAATAGCTAATTTCCATCTGTGGTCCTCAGACAGGTTCATAACAGTCAATACAAATAATAACATTGCATGATCATCAGTCAAACAATTTTAAAACCTGATTTAAGTAATGCTCAATAAATTAATACATAGTACACTTACATGATCTCGGTCACTCAAATAATTACAAAGCCTGATTTATAGCACCTTTCAACACAAAGCAATTCAAAGTGCTTTACAAAAATAAAAGACATTAAGAGCATTAAAAAGCAAAATAAGACATGAAAAAAAAAGTTAGTGTAAAATGTGAATAGTTTAATTAAAAGAGTAACCTCATGTTTTACAGATCTATGTATTAAACAACGATCACATAACATAATCTACTTATTTCTATAAATAGTTATCACCGCAATATACTGTATTTAATTTTGTCTTAATGTACATTATTTAATTTCATATTCTGTTCTTGGACATATCATATTCTATTTACATGTATGTTGTTGTTGGAGGAGTTCAGGTCAGAAGAATTTCAGAGATTTTTGTTTGAGAAATCCACATTTCGAGAGAAATTGAGAAACTGGGATCGATGGTAGGCAAAAGAATTCAGACAAATATCTTGATAATTGGTTCATCATTAAGGAAACTGCTATTTTAAGTCTGAAAAAATGTGCTGTTCACTGGGTTTCATATCATATTACAGTGATGAATATCTTTGGATTTTAGTCTGAGAAATCCACATTTTGAGAGGATTTGAGAAACTGGGATCCATAGTAGACGAAAAAATGCAGACAATTATCTCAGCAGGTGTCATGTGTAAGTTGAAAAGCACCTCTTTTATGTGGAGGAAGTCCTTGGCGTCGAAGGAGATGGCGGTGGCCGGCACTGGAACATCCTCATCCAGAGCGCCGCAGTAGCTGACGTTCGTCCTCACAGCGAACGCCACAGGTTTAGTCTGCAGGACGGACATTTAACCAATAACATCACTCCACATCATTATCATCCACTTCCTCTACAAAGTGAGCAGGGACGATTCAACACTACTGTACATTTCCCAAAGATATTGAAGCGACTGTTATTTTGTATATATTGATTGATTGTTGTGCTTTTATAATTTCTACAACTCTTATTTTCCTGTGATTGGAGCACATACTACTTTGTCACAAAACAAAAATCCTGAAGTTTGGTTCTTTTATGAATTTATAATGGGTCTTCTGAAAATGTGATCAAATCTGCTGGGTCAAAAATATACATACAAAAGAACCAAACTTATTGAAAAGTCAAGACTGTCATGAAATACGTGTTCTTTACAAGTGTATGTAAGCTTTTGACCACAACTGTATATACCCGTAATTTTCGGACTATAAGCCGCACCTGAATATAAACCGCAGCAGCGGCATACCACTCTCGGTTCCACTTTTACTTTTGCGCGCTACCTGTCCCACTCTTTTCCGGCCTCCAGCTTTTCCTGCTGGAACCCGTCGCTTAAAGGTGGGGGTCCGCGGACCGGCCATAGAGCCCATAGAGTTAAAGGTGGTGGCCGTTAGCTGTAAAAATCCATAGATTAGCCGCACCGTTATATAAGCCGCAGCGTCGAAAAATGGGGAAAAAGGCGCGGTTTATAGTCCGAAAATTACGGTACATATTTTTATATATTTTTGTATTCGGGATTGTGGGAAACGGTATTTCGATCTCTCCGTCTGTACACACAAACTGAAAGATTGACAATAAAGTAGACTTTTGACACAGCCATTAGCTCCAGTTTTCTCATTAGCCTTTCTAGAGTGTAAATTTAAACGTAGCAGCAGATGAATGTGTCGTGGAGCACCTTGGCTCTCTCCAGCTGGACGGTGGCCTGCTGCTCCCTCTCCTGCGGGCTCTGTCCCGGTCCTTGGCTCTGGCTGGGGCTCTGGCTCTGGACCGGAGCCGGCACCTCGCGCTCCTCCTCCAGAGAGACATCTGAGTCTGATGGTCTGCTAGTGTATGAATCAGCTGAGCCCTGCAAACACACAACACAAAAGCCTTGAACCTTGCAAACTCACGTTGTTAGAGCAGCAACAACAACAACAAAAACAATGCATTCAAAGTCAAAATGATGAGATGAATGCATTATCTTACAATCTGATATCATGGGGTCATTTTTATTTTATTTGATGCATTTTTCTTTATCCTTTTCTTGGCAGAACTGGGTGGGTTTTAGATGCCTACTACTAACGATAGACCTGATTATTTAGGGTGATATTGGGACCATCAAAGTCTGATTTCCAATGTTTCAGAGACCAGAGTCAAGTGTTAAAGGCACTTATTGTGAAATAGTCATGTCAGGCGATATTGTGGTAATATTTTTGACCACTTTCCAGCGAATACAGAGGGCAAAAGCTACATTGAAAGTAACAGGAAATGCCACAGTATTGTAAATGTGAGATCAAGGCAAGGCTTTTAAACAGTAGCACTCCTAAGAGGGTTGAGTCATTGAGGCATTTCTCAAACATCAAGGAGAGAAAAAGTGGACGAAATGGCTTAAAAGACAAAAGTACTGTAGCTCCATCCGAGAGATACTGTACAGCTGCAAAGCAAAACCAGATCCACTTAAGGAAAAGCTTCTTTATGGGACCGAAGACTGTCTTTTTGGGTTCACATCAACTTGCATGGCCAAGTCCAGCCTGGTGTCTTGGCACTGTGAATGCAATACAGGTGAAATAGATGCCAGGAGCATCAAACAAAGTGGAATTTTCTTTCCCGTAACGTCAGCAGTTTGTATGACTACACACACTGCCAAGAAAGAAAAAAAAAAAAAAAAAAAAAAAAAAAATCACACTTAATACACAATTCTGGAAAGTGACGACTTTGATTACGCCTCCCTAAAAAAGGCGGAGCAGTTGATGCATCTTTTGGACCAGGAGGTTTCGTTTTACTTTCACTTGCCTGATGTTATCGTTCCTACAGTCATGACACTGACACACAGTGCAGCATATCTACGCCTTGTGCACATTTCCACACATTAACTCGTACATAATCACAGAGGCTGAAGCGTGTGGAAACATCAATGTCCGGGTTAGTCACGGTTTTATGGAACACCAAACCCCAGGAGAGGAAAAAACATGCATTGCAAGTGAAAACTGGAGATAAAAAAATTGAAAAGAGATATAAGCTAAATATGTAGGAAACGTATCAGTACGTTTAATCTCACAACCTGACTTTGTTGGTAGATTTAAATTTACATGTATGAATTTTAGATTCCTCCTCATTACCAAAAGACAAATTCATTCCTGCATTGAGTATTTGAGATTCTAAGATGCTGTAAATATGAGAAAATAAATGAATATATATATAGAGGAGATATGCGTTTACAATTCACCCCCTCCGTATAGATCGGCTAATATTTGTCCTGGAATGATTTAAAAAATACCACAGATCAAATAAAACGTATAGATTTAGAAGCCAGAAATGTGGATTCCTAACTCTGCTGTATCAAGAATTTCTCCATCCTTATTAAAAAGACGGTAGTTTCAAATGTGTCCTCTGTCATTTCAGCTTGATGACACATTGAGTCATTTGAAAAATAGATTCATCAACAAAACACACCAAGGTAATTGGCTTCTTCTGCATGAACCAAGACACTTGGAGAGGTTTTTAAAACAAAATAAAAACAGCAAATAACAGGAAACTCTAGTTGGATTGATGCAACTTTAAAAAGGGCAAACACTTTAAAATAACTGATCATTTTAATTAGTCATTTTTGTCCATATCTCTGCATTAATCCTGCACCATTTTGACATACGAGGGGAGGTAAGAGTGGATATAAATATAGTATTTTGTGGCTTTCGATGAGATTTCTCTTTGTCTTTCCTTTTTCCTGCACTCTCTAAGTTTTTTTTTTATTTCACTTAAGTGCTTTGAGACATGCTGGACTTGCAGTATTTGATCCCGCCACACACGGAGAATTCCAGTAATGCAACGGTTCCTTTTTGTTGTTGTTGCTGGGACATGTTTGGACCAAGTGCTTTCTTCTGCCGTGTTAATCTAAACAATCAGCCACTAATGAAGATTCAATTAAGGAAGACCATTAGTCTCCAGAAGATCAATCGAGCTGGTCATCCCAGCTAAGCACTTTTCACTTTTTACAAGCTAGCAGCAGCAAGGTCTGACATCAGCTCGTCTTCATCGTGTGCATCAAATCACAAAGTGCATGTTTCAGGAACTCAAAAGGAAATATCAAGCTTAGTGGGTCTTTGTACGATTTCTAAACAACTCAGATTAAATAGTCAAGTATGATAAAAGTATTAAAAAAGGTGCATTTCACAGATTTTACACGTCATGATAAGTAGTAGAGGCTCTGAAAATGGTTTTATGATGTCGAGGACAATAACCTCTAATGATGTCACAGTGATGTCCTGAGGGTTATCTAAGCATGAGATGCATTCAACCAAGAAAGCTTGGATAAGAAACTGGGAATTTAGAGTTTGCAGGGCGGGTATAATGGTAAAATAAGTTGAATAGTGGGACTGGTGGTTAAACCCATACATTACAACTGACTACAAATAAGGAAATCTTGGCCTTTGCTTCTTCCAATGAGTCCTTTTTGTAACTTCCATCTATCGCAGGTCCATCAAAAATATGAAAATGTAACACCTTGACTATCACTTTTAGCGTAACAGATATCATTTCATATACAATAGATTCCGGTTTCTGCTAAGCCTGAAAAGTTGACTCCAATCCCCCTTCAATACAATCGTCATTGTATTTGTCCTCAAGACTATTTAGCCTCCATATTTTTTTTAATAAATCCTTCAATCCAACACTAGCAAGTCCCTCATCTCATGCATCTGTGTAGAAGCGTTAAGGTAGCACAGTAGCATCCGAGCTATTATCCAATGGAGTAGCTTCAGCATGTGACTCATCAGCATCAGAATCCACTTAATGACATCACGATGCATGTTTCTCCTCAGCAGAGCCTATACATAACGCAGTCACAGGGTCACGTCAAAAATACCCGGCTGCATTTTTCTTAAAGTGATAAATGCTGAAACATTGATCATCTGGATGTGACCATGTTATGGGCCTTAGGGGAGAAAGGAGTGATTAACATCTTTGGTCCATCTCTGAGAGTGTGATGAAGACTAAATGTCTCGTTCATCATGTAGACATCACATAAAGAAACACACATCACACGCACATACAGATGTACAGAAATGTATAAATTGCTGTGAGAATGTCACACGTCAGAAGCCATCTGCCTAATGTGCACCCCCCCTCCACACACACACACCAACACACACCCACCCAACCCCCTTCCAGTGAAGCATAGCCCACGATCACGCTACGCTGTACCCATCAAAGGCCTCCTGTGTGTGTGAGAGTGCAGTTCTTTCATCAATAAACCCACAGCAGATCCACACACACATCCGAACACTCACCGCCTCCGAGTCTTCAAATCCATGCAGGTACAAATTGTCATACATGGAGGTTTGATATTCCAACGAGCGCCTCTAGAAGAATGAGGGGGAAAAATGAGAGTGGAGGCGAAGCAGGAAGGAGGGGGCACCTCAGAGGAGGAAACAAAAAAGGATGGATGGGGGGAATGACGACAATCCCTTCTCTCCCACAGCAGAGAAGAATAATTTAAAAAAAGATCTCCCCTCCCGTTGGATCACGCCTGGTCCTCCGGAGGCCCGTTGATGGATGCAGCTTCTCCCTGATCTCACGGCGCTGCTGGCTGGCTTCACATTATAGGATGGAGAGGCTCTCCCTGGAGGTAGCCCAATCCTGGCATTTCATTTCATCACACACACACACACACAGACACACACATATACATATACATATACACAACGAGCAGCAGTAGCAGCAGCAGCAGCAGCAGCAGAGCAGTGGATCCTTCCTCAATATCCAAGCCTGATGACAGAGCCAATGTGCAGGCAGCTGATTGGCTGGCTGGCTGTCCACTCAGCTTGGATGAGCGCTTTCCTTGATTTTTTTTTTTTTTGTGCGGGGAGGTAGCAAGGATCGGGGGAGGGGGATGGAGGAGGAAAAAGAGGGGAGCAGCATCCTCCATTTCCCTGTAAGCGCTCATCCTCACTCGCCTATTGATTCTCCAGAGAGAGCAGATAAATACCTTCAATCCCATTGTGATTACACACAGAGGGTTCATTCCTTTATACACTGGATCCATGGGTTTGAAAAATGGCATTTATTTCCACATGTGAAGCAAATCCAGAGTGACATTTCTATATAGTCACATGGTCTCAATAGGTGGACACATGTATTTCGTTTTTAGGGAGATTTAGTGTGTTGGACAACAAGGATTTTAGAAATACTGAGACCACACTTCCCCCCTAGTGCATTAGGACTAAATGCTTTATGTTGCTGGATATTTTTATTGTGGTAAAGAAAATGTAATCATGGTTACAAACCTCTACAGCACATGTGTCAAACTCAAGGCCCGGGGGCCAAATCAGGCCCGTGGTGGATTTAATTTCGGCCCGCAGGATAATTTCTAATTCCTATTAGATCTGGCCCGCCGGTATATTGCACGCACACCTTCACTCCATCCTGAGGGTCTCCTCAGCTCAGAGCCTGACCCCAAACATTGATGACCTTGCACCCAAGATGAGATGCCAAGTATCTGGACTAGCATCACAGAGCAGCACACTGAGTTTAATGGATGTTTCCTTCTGCACTTTTCTCTCACGACAACAGGGCATGTTTGGTTTTCTCTTTGAGGGAAATAGTTTTGTTGCAGCTGTTGTTGGCCTGTGGGAAAATGTAATCATAAGAAATGACTCTGGAAAAGCTGCAGATAGAGCCATAAGAAATGAATGCAACTGATTATTTAATGTTGTTTTTATAGGCAATAATTTAAGCTTTGTTAGTTCCAGGTTTAATATGTGCAATAAGTTCATTTCAATAAGTTCTGCAATAAACATTGAACCAGTCCGGCCCTCGACTAGCACCGTTTTTTAAATTTTGGCCCACTGTGTATTTGAGTTTGACCCCCCTGATCTATAGACTATGAATGCTTTACTTCTTATTGATCATATATTTAATGATCTGTATCACAAAAGATATCTAACTTTAGTCCAGAATTCTGGGAGGCAATTATTTTAAATGTATGTAACACCAACTATTTGTTATTATATTAAAATGTTTGTATTTTTTAACAATAGGATACTGTAGGCATCAGTATCCAGCCCCAGGTCTTTATGTATTTATTTCCTATTTAGACTTCTTATATCCAAAATAATCTAAGGTTTAAGTCTCATCATAACTTTAAAAATGCTATATCTCAAATGGCCAGTTTCTTGTATTTTTTTCTTGAATAATTTCGGACAACTTAAACGAACCATCTCTCTTAATAAAGCTTGTGTAATGTACTTTACTTGAAATTGAAGCTGTGGATATATCGAAATCTGTCTTTCCTTAACTGCAATTAGGAAATGTTTAATGAAAATGTAATCATTTCCCAACCAGTGACAGTATTCTACTTTAAATCCCAGGCTTGTGTGTCAGTACCTGTCTGAGGATGAAGCTGGTGGAGGTGGTGCTGCCATCTGATCTCTTCAGGCGGCTCCTCCTGGAATAAGTCCCTCGATTCACCTGAGGGGGAAAATATAACAAGATTTCATCCTGCAGAAACACTTTCTATGTTCAAGAGTCTCGGAATATCTCTTTGTGAGAATCCGTTACATCTGTATGATTGCATTAAATGAAGCCTGATGCAGCTAATACACGATCCACTGGCTTTTTCACATATTTAATACATGTTTTTTTTAAAAGTACAGTACAATAACATCAGCCCTACAAACACACTTGCAGGTACGATACCCATAACGCAGAAGACACATCATCTAACACCACAAAATCAGACTTATACTGGATGTCTTTTCACTAGCTTATGTTCTCCTGCACACTACTTTCCTCCGTACCGCCTGACTTTCTCCATTTTGGTTCCGTTTCTCGTCCAAAAAGTCCAAATATAACCAGCAGAGTTAATCTCCAGGGAGCTCAATTAATTATCTGCCAGTGATTTGCCCCATTTCTGTTCAAGTCTCCAGAGTTAATGACAATGTCAGTGTAAAAAAGACAGAACCTACTTCCCTGAATTTATAAAACAGGGCCACTAATCTGGGCCAGCATCTCGCCTCTGTCTCAATTCAAGCCAAAACCAAGAAGAGATGTGAAAAATAATAGTTGGCTAACTCTCTGAATAATGTTCTATAATAATCCGCCTGAAGCCTCTAACGATCAATCAAGTCAAAAGAAAAGAATAGTTATCTAACAGAGAAAGATACAGTCCTCTTATTACAGGTGTACACATTATACCTCGGAAAATACATTTTAAATCTTGAAAAAAACGTGAAATTATTCTTGTATATTTGGTATAAACTGTGGTCCACCTAGCAGCATTTAATTTGAATGAACAACTAGGTTTAACACAATAAAATGAAATGCTGCATGGTTTGGGAGTTGACAAGCAATAGTATTTATTCAATCAATAACATGATATACATTTAAATTATAACCATATTAATCCCTATCTTCCCACCCATAATAACATTAACATGATGCAAAAAATTTCAAGAGACTCAGGTCAAAAACATTAATGTTAGTCCCACTTTGTGTTGCTCTGAAAGAACAAATGGTTTATTAAAAGTCTAGCAAAATAGAAAAACTATATAGTTCTCAAGTAAGTAAAAATACACCTGGTCTAAAATGCATAAAATCACATAAGTGGTTCTGTTTCTTAGAAAAAGGTCTCAAACCCGAGTTAAATCAGGGCATTTTGGTCACAGGGAGTCATGGAGTATTTCCCAGCTTTCAACTTTTAGTAGAAAGGTGTTCAAATGTAAAAAAGGTACACATTTTTGCCTGAGACTCACTCGGTATTCAGCGTTGACAGAGTAAACAGCTGTTCGTTATTATTTGCCGTAAAGTAACTGTCGCGAATCATCCATTTAGATATTTAATTAAGAACCAACCTGAAAGATGGGCGCTTGGATGCCCTCTCCGATTTTGTTCCGTATGTAGATGTGTCGAGACATTTCTGCCAGGACATCGGTCCAGACGCCGGGCTGCTGCTCCGGGCCGGTCCAGCGGAGGGAGTTCGGGTTCCGGTGCTCCAGCTTCAGGTGTTCCGCTGCTTCCTGCAGGATCTCTCTCATGCACAGGCTGCTTCTGCACCTGAGTGATGGACGGAACTATTTTTAACAAAACGGAGGGGTGGGGGCGAGCTTAAAATAGCCTGAAAAGTAGGGTAGCTGTCTTAAAGAGGCACATTGTGACTATTTTCAGGGTTGGTTGCAACAGGGAGCAATTCATGATACACATTTAACATGTTTTGTGCTTACTTTCCAAATTATCAGCATCCAAATATAGGCTACTCAAAGTACCAACAGTAAAAAGTTGAATCCATGCATTACATTAATGCACACAATGTTGAAAATATTGCTTACTGCACATATTTTATATTCTATAATGTGAATTACTGCTTTATTGTATTGCTATATTTTGTATTACAGTGTTCTAGATCGCTATCTGTGTTCTTTTTTTAAATGTTTGTTTTGTATTACTTGTATGTTTGCACAACGACACCAAGTCAAATTCCTCGTACGTGTAAACCTACCTGGTAATAAACCTGTTTCAGATAAAAGTAGTCATTGTGCAGATTGGCCCATTTCAGAATAATATATATGATATGTTTTATAATGATTGATCATGAAAGTGTTCTCAAAGCTGGTAAAGGTGCAGCTAGTTTGAATGACTTTGTATACTGCAGGGTAGCTTGTGAATTTACTCCAGGTGGAACTAAAGTCTGATTTAACACTTGATTATATTTCACATCACTCATCCACATCTGTAAAGTAACTAAAAGTATTCAATACATGTAGTGGAGTAAAAGTACACCATTCACCTCTGAGTTCTTATCAGGAAGAAGACAAGCAACACTGGTAATACTCAAGTAAAGTACAAGTACCTCAAAATTGTACCTACAGTAATATTGTTGATGCTACTCCAACAAGGGTGTGGCATATTCTTATAATAGAGTATTGTTGAAAAGTAGTTAATTAGGTCATGCATTGGAGCTTTCACTGTTAATCTCTGCAAAATGGTGCTCTATATATGGAGTTTAAAACCCACAAAGCATTATACATCCATCCCCATGCTTAATTGTGTACAAATCTCTTAGTATAGTTGCCAAAATAGTTCAATTTCATCAGTCCCCAGCCTTTTGTTTCAACACTTTCTGTGCTTTTTGTGTGTGTATTAATACCTATGATTAATACCGGTCATTTTAGAAATACTGAATGCTGTGACTGTCTTTGCCCAGCAGATGGCACCATTGTCATTCAAAACAGCTAAGGGCCAATAATCAGGCTGACGTATTTTACTGCTGCAGGTCCAGAGGGTGGTGTCATGAGAGATGCATGAAGGTCAATATTCTGGATTTGGGCACAAAACCCATTGTGTGTCTGTCTTAAAAATATGTTATGTATACAAGAGTAAGCCATTAACCTTGCTCACTTAATTGATAACACCATTATAGTTGTGTTTGTGTAGATAACATGTGTGCCATGTCTTAAAAAGCCGTGCAGGGGATCAGCTGCAGACACATGTTACATCTTCCTTTTAACACGATCAATTTGTATTCTTGTTTGACTCTTCCGGTGGACAAAAATAACTGAGAACACTTTGCCAGTGATCATACAGTCCTCCATCTATCTTTCCAATATACTTCATGCTGAGTGCTCCACATCTGCAGGTTGTTACCTGAGTGTCTCTGCACTCACCTAGCCTTAAAATATCTGAGTCACTATGCTTTGAATAGCTGTCTCCTCCTGTTGAACCTGAAGATTGGTCCACATTTAAACCACTTTGTTGCCTGTGATGAATCCCTTGAGACAGCCGCGTGGTCCAGTGGCACGTATTTGTGGCTTTACAGCAGAAGCATGTGAGTCCAAGAAACGACAAATGTAGTAACAGCTTTCTACGTCTCTGAGAACTTTTTATAAGGTCCTTCAAAGATATGAAAATGAGCCGCTTTGTTTCATGGACTTATGTCTTCACGTGTTCAGCGAAACTTTGATCAGTCAAATCTTCTAAGAGTGGACGTGGTGGATTAACAAACTTTAAAGTGGGAGGATTAAGTTGTTTTTTCATGGTTGGACACTTTTGATCCAGACTGATTTTATATAGGAGCAGCATTTGAATGAACTTTTGGATGTGAAATGAAGTCTAAATTGTCCTTAATGGTTAAAACCTAAATAAAATAACACGACACAACCAGAATATCAATTAAAATGGACTCTGTTAACAAAACTGTGCAAAACTCAATTCTTATAATTGTTTATTTTGGCATCATGTTGGCTAAATAAGTCAATACAAATCAAGCTATAATTATAAAAAGCATAAGTAAATAATAGAAAAAGTATTGTGGTCATGTCCATATATCCATAAGTGAAAGATCTGGTAGAAATAGTTATTATAATACAGTTTTATGTTTGTATAATTATGAATAAGTTCAGGAAACAATCCACCAAAACCCACACAAGAGTCAAATGTGAAGAGGTCGTTGTTGAGGCATTTTCTTGAGTGCATCTTTTGTTTTTTTGTAATATTTATGGACTTCAATTTGATCCAGTTTTCTAAATGGTAGAGCAAAGAAGAAATTTCGGATGAATAAATAAAAGAAAGTAGTGCCCAAGTGACCCAGAGGGTTCACCAGCAGATTCAACTCTCCCTGCTCCCTATGAATAATAAACACTGGAGTGCAGCTCAGAGCAACGATGTGAGAACGGGTGCTACGTTTTTGGAGGTAAATGGGTTTGTAATAAAAAAATGTGAGAGTAAATCGCTGCACTGCTGAAAATGACCTGTGAAAGAGACTAATACACTGAAATGAATAATTAAATACCTGCACAGGTAACTTCTGCCCTGTCCTCCACCTTGTTCACCTTCCTTTGAGTCTATTATTCATCAGTTTAAGATCTCCTGCCTACAGGAAAAGTAATCACGATGCTATAAAGGACAACGTGGTGATTTACCTGCATGCATGTCTCCTCTCAAGACACGTCAATTATTAAAGACACATGATGGAAGCTGAGGGATAAGACATTACAAAGAGCAGTGAGTAACTCGTGTCTTCGAGTCAAACCACTTTAAAGACAGAAAGAAAATCAGTGAGTGGAAAAAAACAACTATTTTTGGACACTTTTTTGATCCTGTGTTTTAAAAATAAGATCCAACATTCTTAACATTAAGATAGTAAAATCTACTTTGCAGGTGTTCAAATCTTTGGGGAAAACAGACATATGCTCGTTTTTTAAATCTTGAAAAAAGTTTATTTTAATCTTGAGACTTGTTTTAATATTGTGGTTGAGCGTTCAGCATGCAAAACTAAAAATATTGGCACCAAAATTGTTTTCTTCATATTTTTTTTACAGTGCACATTATACAAAAATATAGAGTAGCAAAAGCTCACAGTGTCCAAAAGGTTATGTCAAATTCACATCAATCATTTTTTAACAGCAGAACGGAGAAGTCCATCAGGATCTTTAAAAAAGTGTTTTAAGTACAAAACACAACCTTTTCTGTCACAGCACGGGGAGAGGATGCAGCCAAATACATACACACATATTTGTACACTTTATACACACACATGTTCTGTATTTTGTGTAAGAGTGTGGTTTGTTGACGCTACACAACACCTGAATGCATCACTTGGTATTTACAATTTAGAAACACAATGGGATATATATACATGTCGCAGTTTGGAGTGACTTAAATATTAGAAACATGGTCCTGTTTTAGTAGCATATTACTTGTAAAATGATTTTATTTTAAGAGTCAGAATAATTTCCAAGAAGTTTCCTGAAAGTATTTAATTCGCAACATATATTTAACATATATGCAGAATAGACATTTGATGTAAACAAATGTACCTGATAAAGTGTTTCTATTAAAGACAACTCTGTTTTCCATGTCCCGGAAATATGAGTGTGACCAACGACAAATGCCCCAAAATCAATAAAATATGATACATTGACATCTGTGAACATACGGAAAATAATTAACAGAAAAGTAAACATCATTTTTTACAGTGTACAGCACATACATAAGTGTCAGAAATGTTTTCTTCAGTGTCTTTCCCGTTGCTGCTTCTGCTAAATATGAACATTAAAGCAAAAAAAAAGTAATTTCTTTGCTTCTTCGTACTGATGAAGAATGGTGATGTTTCTCACAACAAATCATTTCAGTTCTCTGGTTTTCATCACAGATATCAGTCTTATGTGTCCAGGGTAAATATTGTACATTATTACTGAGTCCTCTGAACCCACCTGCTGAAAATGAGGGAAAGGGAAAATCCCCAAACTAGCAGATGGGTCTCCTCTCAGTCCGGTGAACATCCAGATAAAAACATCATTCAGGAAGTCTGGATTCTTCACACTGAGCACAAACAAGGCGGTGAAGTAAGGGAAAGTTCTGTGAGTGTTGGTTTCAATATCCACAATTATTTTTGAAGAATAGGTAAGAACAAAAAGCCCGCCAGCTTTCATGGAAACAGGAGACTTTGTGAGTGTATTTGAAGAATGCAGAAAACTTAAAGGACACTCAAGGTGCGGTCACATTTGCTATGCATTTAGGTCGAGTCCTGCAGAATGTAATATACTTTATACTGTGATTTGTAGAATATTAAACTACGAGCAGCAACTTATGAGGATTTTGTCTCATGTGACCAAACCTTTGAATGGCTTTCAAGGATTTCCTCCACATTGGCAGCTAGAGTTTAGGAAGAAAAGGAGAAAAAGTGTAATTGGTTTAAATGGTGTACGCTCCAAACCTTATTTTCTTTGCATGCTGTACAGTAGCAACTCATATTTCTATGAGTGAGGAAACACTTCATGGTGGGGTCTTGTGAGAGTGAAAGAGGGGTGCTTTCTGTTCAGAGCCTCCTCTCAGCTGTGCAGGTAGGTCCTGCAGGGCGAGTCTGGGTGGAAGTCGTACTTGCCGAGGCTGGGGGGGTAGTACGTGGTGGCGAACATGTTGCTGGCGGGCAGCGGGGAGGGGAAGTGGTTGCACGTCTCGTCGTTCACGTGGAGATTGTTCTTGTTTAAGGTCTGTAGGGTGGAGACACAAGGAGAGAGATGTTACACACCTTTCCATATCTGTGAATCTGTTATTACCTGGCTACAGAGCTGGAAGAAGTATGTCTGCTTATGCTAATTAATGCAACTTGTGCCAATTGCCCAACATAATGCAAGTTAGCATCCGGCAGTTTCTATATCCTTTATTTAACCAGGTAAAAGTCTCATTGAGATTAAAATCAAGAGGGCAGCATGATCAAAGTTAGAACAAATGAACACAAAACGATACAGGCAGACGTCGTAAAACACAAATTAAATGGCACCAGTCAATATGCTAAATGAAAGAAACTATTATAAAACATTAAAAACTGGCACTCTACTGTATATGCTGGGGACCCGCACTATACATTTCTAACATTAAACCTTGGGTTACTAAACATTTCCAGGCTCACAATAGCACTCTGCTGTCAAACAGACTATAACAGTTAGCTAGAGACAGAGATGGCAAAAGTACACACATCCTTTACTCAAGTAGAAGTACAGATATACGCGTGTTAAAAGTAGAAGTACTGACTAAACTTCTTTACTCAAGTCAAAGTAAAGAACTTTGAAATGTACTTCAGTAAAAAGTACCCATAACTAGCAGCTGTTTTAAAGAGTACCTGACCTCCCTTTATATTAATAGAACAATAATGTCATTGTTAGCTAATGAATGTTTCCATGGTGACCAACGGCAACATGACAACATTTCCATTGGTCCCTCTTTCTTCTTCTTCTTTCTAAGTCTTTATTGTTATGATTTTGTATATATAGTACAGCTACTCTACTTTACTCTACCCAATGATATGCATNCTGTTTGGAAAATGAGAGAAGTAGAAAGTACAGGTATTTGAGTTCAACATGTAAGAAGTAGAAAGTACAGGTATTTGTGTTCAACATGTAAGAAGTAGAAAGTACAGGTATTTGTGTTCAAAATGTAAGAAGTCAAAATCAAAAGTGGTCAGAAAATAAGTAGTGGAGTAAAGTACTGATACCAGAAAAATGTACTTAATTACAGTAACAAAGTATTTGTACTCCACTACCTCCCACCTCTGGCTAGAGATATAACTAATCACCCCACCTTGAACTCCATGGGGATGTACTTCTCGTTCTTTGGCGTGGCGTTGCCCTGCTTGTTGTAGGTCAGGTGGTTGGGGGTGCTGGGGTGGATGACGGCGGACTCTGCGGACGCTCGGTTCAGTTGGTAGCAGTAGCTGTAGGCCAGAGCCGAGAGCAACGCCGCCGCAAAGAAACTGGCTGAGCCCACGGCGACTAACTGGAACAAAGTGAAGGCTGGAGACAGAGGGAGGGGAAGAAGAGAGGGTGAGACTAAGGCTGTTCATAGGGGACCATGACTAGACACTGCAGATCTCTTTGGTAAAACCAGTCGTTTTTAGGGAAACATTTGGCCTGCTGGTGACTCTCGACAAACCTTTTGTAATAAGGCGGATCGAGCCTGCAACGAAAATCTGACAGTTATCAAAGGAAAATGTTCAGTGGGTTTACTAAATGATAACCACACCAAGAATCACAACAGGCTGGAAACAGAGCGGCAGGGAGGGAGGAAGAGAGGAGGAGACTAAGGCAGTTCCTATCAGCTTCTATATTACTTGTGTACAGCAGAAGTGGACATGTATATATTTACTCTATGATGATATGTAACAGAGATACGCTGGTAATTTCCATATTTGGATAAAGGCTTTTTCTGCAAATGTGCATGTAGGAGCCATATGTTAAAATGTATAATTTGATATATTATGTGTGTACTGTAAATAGATATATTTGAACATTGTAATCCTTTGTTATTAGTATAACTATATCATTTATTTAAACCAGCCGTCATTTGTTTAAGTAAAGAGTCAACCAAACTTTCACTTTTCATATTTTTGTTGGAGTCAAGCTTATTGCTACTTGTGGACACATCAATTTTGGGATTAGACGGGACTACAGTGTATATGAAAGATTACTCTTACAGTTAATTGATAATCAAAATAGCTCTAATAATATGAATTGATAATAGTAGACTTGCTATATTACTAATATGCAACCTCCTCAAAGAATCATACCTTACCACACCAAGAATAACAACAGTGAGGTGAGTAAATGATCATATTTCTATCCTTGGACTTCCTCCATCGTTACAGGACTGGATGTCACTTTCTAACTTTGCTTAAAGACCAACCAACAACTTTCCCCAGTACTCTGTCACATTGGGAAAAAGCCACAAACAAAATCAATGTGCTACAGACAGTGTGGGAGACATCAGGTGACGAAGAAAGCCAATAACTCTGAAACTTTGCAACAAAAACTTGGTGTTCAGTGGCAGCAATTTAACTGAAGTGGTATTGATTTACTGGGGATGCGGCAGGAGTGTGTGTGTGTGTGTGTGTGTGTGTGTGTGTGTGTGTGTGTGTGTGTGTGTGTGTGTGTGTGTGTGTGTGTGTGTGTGTGTGAGAGAGCTGGGAACAAAGTGCTTTTGTGAGTAACTGTTTGATTGTACTCACTTCCACAGCTCTGCTCCTCCTGCCCAGGTAAAATAACTGGAGAGAGACAGAGAGAAATCGATGCAGTGAAGTTTAATCACCGCAGCTCCAAAAGATCAAACAACAGAAATGATTAAGAGTTCATTTTTTCTCAATGTGCTCTTCATTAATTCATCTTTTTTAAATTTCTACACAGAGGGAACAAGCATTTACAGCGTGTGATTAAAGTTTGGAGGGATTTTACAGCTCATATCAGCAGCAGTTTTTAACACTTAGTGGTTTTATTAACAGGAAGAACATGTTCTCACCGGGGACTTCGTGAGGCTGGCAGGGCCGGGCCTGGGTGATGTTCCCCTGGCAGAGACCGCCCTCGAGCCCCTGGTCCTCCCCACAGTGACGGGTGCGATGCTGCAGACCCTCGTCATCACAGTACCCCCAAACCGTCCACTCACCCCAATCTGAAGAGCAAAGAGAAAAATCTCACTCGTCACCGGCTTGAGCTTGAATCTCAGGATCCATGTATCTGTGATCCTCTCCAGAATGGAAGTAGTCATCACATACAGAGCATCAACTAGTTCCTGAACAGTGTCCTTCACATGCTGATATCCAAGAGAGGGAGTTACACAGTCACAAGATGGAGGAATAGAAAGCAGTATTCAATGTTTACTTCAGATTAGCCATGTATTGATTATCCTCTCAAGAATGGAAGTAGTCAAAACAAAAAAAGAAGAATTTGTTGGTATTTTTCTCAAAAATTCGGACTTTCTCAAAATCTAAAAACTTGGACATTTTCATCAAAATTCTGACTTTTTCTAAAAATTTCAGAATTCTGACTGTTTCTAAAAATTCTGACTTATTCACCAAATTCTCAAAAATCTAAACATGTTGACTTTTTTCAAGAAATTCCGACTTTTTCTCAAAAATCTCAAAATTCTGACTCTTTTTCAGTCCAAGATAGGAGGAATAGAAAGCAGTATTCAATATTTACTTCAGATTAGCTCCACGTCAGAAATGATCATGCTTGTCATATGTCTCTCTCCATAGAGGCTGAATCATCATGTTAATCACATAGCTATCAT